TAGCCACTAATCAAACTTCCTCAGACTTTCTACAAGTATCTTATGGCCACTGAAATGGTGGTTCCTACAAAAACTAGGTAGAAACAAATTTTTCAACAAGGATTAACAACTCAGAGTTATAAGCAAATCAGTTTTTCATTGGAAAAAAACTTCCATTACAATGGAAAAGCTTTTACAATTTGATCAAACTCACCCTCGCAAAACAACTAAAACTGATGCCATCAACATAAAAAGGAAAAGACAACTAAAAACATGATCAAGTTAAAATTCCACTTAGGGTTGCAACCAAAATCATATTACAGTTACTGTACGAATTAGGCTTGAAGTCCATAACAAAAACATGACTTGGAATCTGTTCATTTGTAACACTAACAGTTTTTTACATTTTCTTCTGATTGGATGATGTTCGGTCCCTTCTGACTATACTTTTTCAACAAGAAACAAGGAAAAAGGTAGAAGGAACCCTACTTTTATCATATAATTCAATGATTCTGATAGTTGACAATCATGATTCCGAAACCCTATCTAGGCTATAGATCCAACAGTAAGGCAGGCACACGTGCTCTGAACTCTCACAAGACAGCAGTTTACTCACCATATCATCTAGAACTAGAAGTTTACTTATTGATGATCCAAGATGATTAACTGATTCCAGAGTAATTCAAGCATGAAGTACAGGTGTACCATTGAGATGATAACGTATATATACGTCCTACCTAGAGCATTTTCCTCCAGATATTTGCTAACCTTAACATTCCCTTGCAAATAGACGGCCACATGCATCATATAGGATACAACAAAACCCTTAACTACTAAAGCATAAGTTGTTCAATGATCAATACTTCAGTTCACTCCCCTCACAAATGACCAGAAACAAGACTCCAACAATCCAATAAGGCAATTTTATTTCAAAAAAGGTGAGCAAAGGCAATAATCAGGTCTAACAGTGTGACGGAAAATCGAAGAAGCTTAAAGGCAATTCATTTCCAATTATTTCGCATTTCGCATTTCCATCTTTAATATTATTACTATGCTAATGATCCAAAACAAGATGCTCAACAAACAACAAGAGCATCAAATACAAAACTTTTAACAATTACCCATATCACCAATCTAGGAGTTACACCAAAGAAGCTAGATTTCACCAATAAATATTGAACAAGCAGCAAATAAAGGAACCTCCGTGAATATGAAAAGCAGATTACAAATGGAGATTCCAATACTCACCATCACCAGAAAAAAAGTGAAAAAGAGAATCACTTGGTCTTAACATCCACTCCATCCTTGCCTGCAATGATGACCGCGGTCGCCATATCCAAGAACAACCCATGTTCCACAACCCCTTCAAATTTCGAAATCTCCTTCCCAGCAGCCGGCCCATCTTTAATGGGACTCTTGAAATACAAATCTACAATGTAATTGAAGTTATCAGTGATATAAGGCTTTCCATCACCATCCAACCTCAACTTTGCTTCAACCCCTTCTTCGTTAAACAACTCCTGAAGCCTCACCAAGTTATATTTCCAGCAAAACTGTACAACCTCCACAGGCATTGCCAGTCCACTTCCTCCGAGGCCAGTCACCAACTTGGTCTCATCAGCCACCACAACAAACTTATCTGAAGCAGCCTCCACCATTTTCTCTCTCAGCAAAGCCCCACCACGCCCTTTAACCAAGTCAAGATTTGGGTCGACCTCATCTGCACCATCTATGGCCAAATCGATCTTGGGGTGATCATCGAGAACCGAAAGAGGGATACCCAATTGGCGAGCTTGATCCTCCGTGCGTTTTGAAGTTGGAACTCCAACTATGTTCTGCAATTCACCTGATTTCAAGAGCTCTCCGAGCTTTGAGACCACAAAGGCGGCCGTTGAGCCAGTGCCGAGGCCGAGGACCATGCCGCTCTTGACATATTCGACGGCCTTATCGGCTGCAAGCTTCTTGAGTTCGTCTTGAGTGAGAGCAGGGACAGTGCGAGCTTTGATGGACATGGGCCTGTAAGAAGAAGAGCGCAGGTTAGGGGTTTTGGGGGTGCGCAGGAGAAGGTGGGCGGTGGATGCATTGTTGGGTGAGAGGAGGGATAAGGAGGAAGCCATTTTCGCTTCTGGGTGGGTAGAGAGTGGAGATAGAAGAAGAAAGAATGAGAATTGAAGATGAATAAGAGGTGGATTTTGCTCCCTCTGTTTTTGTATCTTTCTCGGCTTTGCTATCTTGTTGGTTTGGTTTGGAGTTTCTGTGAGCTCTGTTTTTTCGTTTGTGCAAAGGTTTGTGATTTGGATGCAAAATATGACCTTTTTAGAGTCGGGTTGGGTGGTTGGTAGCTTTGCTATTTGGTTGGTTGAACTTGAGATAGAGATAGGAAGTTTTTGGTGAGGATTACAATTTCTTTTTCCTTTTTCTCAGGGTTAAAAATACTAAGAAATAATATTAGATGATTGGATCATAAGGTAATTAGTCCATGACATAAAGAATATTGTTTATATTTCCTAATAAATAGTTATCTCATCTATATCTTTACAATGAAAATAGATTCAATGGATTTGGGAGTAGTGGTAAACACAGATCAATGATAAAATATTGCAGCTGCAGCAGCAAAATGGGAAAAGAGTTTAAGTATTAACAATAATTTGCAACTGGTGCCTATTGGGAAGAGCAAAAACATAGCAACCCAACTCCATAGAAAAACTCCAGAGAGAGAGAGAGAGAGAGAGAGATTGAAATAAGAAGAGAAATAGGAAAACTATGTGAGGTAGGTGGTAGGTAGGTAGTTCTCTGCCAAAAATAATGAAGGATTTATATCTATAATCTGTCATTTGATCTACCAAGTTTACCAAAAACATGTGTTTGAGACTCACAGAAACACACATGTTTGAATACATGTGATTGTGTATATTTATTCATCTTGTTGCAGTGGTTGTTACCATCTGTGATTCAAACCTGCAAACAAACAATTGACATTGAGTGCTGCTACTGACCAGCAGCTTCCAGAATGGTTCATTTCATAAGATTTAACCTGCATATATATGCCAGCCAACAAGTACTGCATCAAGTGCTGCAGCTATAACCTATATGTAGACCAAGCAGTCTCAAATACTTCAAAACAATTTGGTATCAAATTTCAATGGGTGTAAATTAGTCACAGTTCCAATCAAGTACAAAATTTTCATTGCTAAAAACATGTCATGATAATTTCACCTCAACTTTTTTATCTATGTGGGAGGGGGGAAAAGCCTTATCCCTCACATTCCCATCAAAGGTTGATTCTTGAGAAATTTAAATTTAAATTATTACTGATAAGTAAACATCCAATACTTAAGATGAAAATTACTTTTTTTTAAAAATATATTAAAAAGGGGGAATAAATTGTTATTAATTCGTTGGGACTAATTTAAAAAAAAAAAATTTCCTACAAAAAGAAAGAAAAAAAGGGAAAACCTCGTCGAAATACGACGGCGTTTTCACGCGTCCCCATATTCCTTCCTTCCTTAGAATTCTTCAATTGGACCAATAAACTCCAACAGTCTCTCTTTCTTTTGTTTCCTTCCTCCAAACTCCAAGCCCCCTCTCTCTCAAATCCTCAATTTCATCAACCATGTCTGCAGAATCAGCCAGTGCAATTCAAAGAAACCAAGTAAGTATACCCAGTTCCAATTTTCTTTTTCCTTTGTGGGTTCAGTCACTAAGATAACTTCCGAAAATTGGTGGGAAAAAGATTTGAATCTGGCATCTGGGTTTCTTCCAAGGGTGAAAAACCGGTGTTTGTATCACCAAATTTATTTTCCAGGCCGAAAGAAAAAAGATTTTTATTATCGTCCTTGCAAATTCTGGCCTTGCAGTATGACAGTGCATTCGGAGCTTCTTATTTTCTGATATTGAATTCTTATGGTCAGGTTGATCTTTTGGACTTCATAGATTGGTCTGGAGTTGAATGCCTCAACCAAAGCACTAGTCACTCTGTTGCCAACGCTCTCAAGCAGGTAACTTTTATTCGACTTCTGGTTTTTTATATTTAAAAATATGTATAAAGTATAAATTGCTGTTCTTGGTTTGATTAACATTCTTAATTAAAAAATGTTAATAAAGTTACCCTCATTACTGTGAGAACGCAGAACTTAAGTAATTTTTTCAATTGCCATTGTTACTTAGAGAGTCAGTTAGCCATGTTTTGTTATCGTTTGTTATTCCTGCCATCTGCTCGCCTGCTAATAGAATTTAAGAAAAAAATTTAAAACCTTTTGATTTGTGAAATACGGAGCTTGCGCCTAAGCCATATAGTTGTCTCTTGCATGTTAATTTGAGCAAGATTTTGTTTAACATATTGGAGTTATGACTATGATGTCTGCTCAGTGCTTAAACATGTTTTGGAGGTAATGCAGTTATATTTACTTGCTTTTGTTCATTCGTAATTAGGGTTATAGAGAAGATGATGGTTTGAATCTGGAGAGTGATGCAGATGAGCAGCTTTTGCTTTACATACCTTTTCTTCAAGTCATTAAGCTGCACTCTATTGTCATCAAAGGACCTGAAGAGGAAGGTAGCAATGAATTTTTCTGAATAGATACAGTTCAACCGCATGTGACTATGAATGCTAATATTAAGCTTGTTGGTGCGGTACTTGAATTCATATTGTTACACACTGAAATGCTTTGATCTGAATGCCTAGGCAACTCTCGATGGAATTTTTTTTGAGGTGTTATTTGTTTTCACTACTGATGTTACTTTTCTTTCATTTTTTTGCACTTCCTTTTAATCTTTTATTATAAAATCTTATAACAGTGGAAGCCATCCCAACATATCATACTTAGGGTTCACAGTAACATGTATTTGAATTCTTGTCTTCATTTAGCTTTGATCCACTCTTTTAAGGTTTGTAGTAGATCAAATAGAGGTTGCAAAAGGATCAAATTTGTTGGCATGCAGAGTAGGAAAAACTCTGGAGCAATAAATCTAAGGATCATGGAACTATGAATATAAATACAGATAAGTTTTTGCAACCATGGGGATTTAAGAAGACTACCAATCTCAAACCAAAATGCACATATCAGAAGAAAACATTTCATGTTTCTTTCTAGCGCTACTGATCCAAGGCCTTGTCTTCATAGTATGTAAGGTCTTTAAATTTGTTTTCATTTACTGAAAAATTAATTCTGATTAGGTGATTGTATTTCAAAACATCAGCCTAAAGAGCCAATACTACTAGAGTGAACATGAAAGTGGATGATATCATAATGGTTATATCATGATGTTTTCTTCTTTATCAGAGAATCATTCAACAAATATGAGTTTTACAGGATTGTAAATATGAGTTTTCTTCTTTCCCTGAGAAATATAATTTTTCTGCTGTTGTGGCTCTGATACCACTGTCTGTCATCTTTGTCTTTTCCTCACCTTTTTCTTCCAGCCTCTTTGTTAACTAAAATTTTGTTGTGCATTTTACCCTGCAAACCTTCTACTGTAAATATCCCTGAAATTGATGTTTGATACTGTTCTAACATTGAGATTGATTTCTAGGTCCTAAGACAGTGAAACTTTTTTCAAACAAGGAGCATATGGGGTTCAGGTATTATTCTTGGGACAATCACAGTTATTGATCATGGATAAATAAATAAATAATTGATTAACTCATGGATGCATTTCTTGCTGATAATGGCAGCAATGTCAATGACTTCCCAGCAAGCGATACACTTGATTTATCCCCTGAGAATCTAAAGGTTGGGATTCTGTTACGACAACCTCTACTATTTTGCTTGTTGAAGACAATTCAGTAATACACATTTGGAAGGTTTTAGCATTATACTTGATGTCTTTTTACATGTTACAGGGCAAACCAGTTGTCTTAAAGTATGTCAAATTTCAAAATGTTCGCAGGTATCATAAACCTACTTTTGTTGATTTACTACTATATTTCTCTTTATGTATGTAATAGAAAGTCTCACATTATATTTGTATCAGCTTGACGATATTTATTGAGGATAATCAATCTGGCTCCGAACTCACAAAAGTTCAAAAGATTGTTCTGTGTGGAACAACGTAAGTTTCAATTGTTCCTCATTGTTCGTTTCTTTTTACTCGTAAATCGGCTGGTATCTCGCATAATTTATCAGATGGTCTACATTCTTGGACAATGCATTTGTTGTTCTATACATCTGATATGTGCCCTATTTTCCACTGCGATAACAGTTAAATAATCCAGTATCCACATAATATAACATACCATATGTATCTAATGATGTTTTCCTGTTATGTAGGGTGGAAACTACAGACATGAAGGGCTTGAAGAAGATTGAGGACGGACACTGAAGAGTCAGAGAAGTAGATGAATGAAAAAATTGAATCATCTAATACCCTTGTGATCATTTAGCAAATCTATCTGTGCACATGGTTATGTGGCATATTATTTATATACTTAGGATTATAATCAAGTTTCATTGAAAAAATTTCGCCCTCTATGGGATTCTAAGATTATATGAACATTTAATTGACCCAAAAAAAGTATGAAACATTCTCAATCTTGTCCAGCTCCATGTTTGGCTTTCTCTCAGTGCTTGGCATTCAAACGTTTGCAATTTTCAGAAGCTATTGCTTATGTCCCCCCATTGGGGTCCCAAGTGGGTTTCTCTTTTGTTGATTAGGATTGGATTCTTACACACTGTATTTCCGAGAAATCTCTTATTCCCTATGATTCTAGCTGCTGTCGAAAATAATTAACAACCAATTGAAAACATAAAGAGCATATATATCATAGGTCGGTAGTGAAGGGCAACAATCTGACAGACCAGACTGGCTAATGTTTCAGAAAGCTCATTAAAGAGTAGACAACTTCATTAGACTTCGAAGAAATGGCGGCACTACAAAGATAGTTGATTTTTTTTATTCCCATTTGAACTAATGAAACATCTTGGTGAGGGGTAACATAGAAATTAAACAGCCCTGAACAGAGGGGGCATGAAGAAAGCTTCATTATTTCAACAACAATAAAGCAACGCACTCGAACCAAGTTGATGATATACATTATCATACACCCTTTCTCGGACAAAATCAATCCGTAAGAATTAACTGCTTCTAGAATAGAGGTCAATGCTACCTAATTGCAGCCGTGAGGTTGATTGAACATCTCGAACTGTCAAAAATCTGAACCTGCAACGTAACCCTAATTTAATGGAGAGCCGGAAAACATTGATACATGTTCGAACGCATTTGAGCGTACAAATATTTACCTGAAAACATTTGATAGGAAACCCTGACATGAGATCTTAAATGTTTTACGCTGGAAACGACTGTCAAATATTTGAGAAGTTTGTTTATCCAATAGATGCCAGCTTGATTCCCCATCATTGCTTCCTTCAACTACCCTGTAAATTAAATTTATAAATGCTCAACAAGATCAATGCTTCACAGGATTTCTGAATACAAGTATATAAGTACTTCACAATACGCGTGCATGCAGGGAAAAAATTCAATAACTACATTCAGGACACTTCCATTATTGTCATTGAAGAGGATGCCTGAATGAAAAGGAGCCAAAGTCCTTGCTGCATAAGGCCATAAACACATGCCACATGCCACTTAATCGAAGAAAAATGTAGCAGATTGAAAACTCAAAGATCTGTTGTTAATCATACATATCGTACCAATCCATCGGATCCCTTTCTGGTGCATCATTGGCTGACATTATCTCATATGCCACAAGTTCATGCATCAGGTTGTCTGATACTTTATACATGATCCAACAACCTAAAAGCCATAAATACAAATTCACTAAATGAACTTGCTAATAGTAAAGTGTTTAAATCACACTAATGTACAAAAGAGAACCCTTTTCATTACCTCGTGCGCCATTTGGTTCTTCCCACTTTGATGTGCGTAACCCATCAAATGCTGACGTTGCCTGAAATTTTCAGCGGAGATTATGGAGAAATTTTTAAATGAAACAGTAAAAAGATGAACCACATAGACCAAATAAAACTCACAATTCCCAAAGGAATTTCTTCTCCACTTGCAAGGACTGAACCAGAATGTATTCTGTTTAGCTTCAGAAGTGGCAAGCAAAGAGAATCTTCAACAAAGTTATCACAAATGTTAAGATTATTGATTGTGTCATCCAAAGCATCCAAAGCAACAGGCAGTGCCAAAGAGGTTTTGACAGCAGTTCCAGCTAAAGAAATGTCAAACCTCCCATCAGCATCTGCCTTACCACTCATCGAAAGAGCATAAAGTAACTCAGTGAAAGAGGGCAGCAACTGATGAACAAGAGATTGGCTGACTGAATCGATTGTGGCCCTCCTTGTTTTAAAAGGGGATTTCTTAAGATCCACAAGAATTCGTTTAAGAGTCTCGAGTACTTCAACCGCCCTTGACTTGGGAAATTCTTCCTTAACAAACTGGGAAAGAATCGGAAGAAATGCATTGTGAATTTCGGTCACATGCTTGTCAACACATGCACGAACTGGACAAGAAGAACCACTCAAGGAGCAACTCTCATCAGAACCACATTCTAATCTTGACTTCCGCCATTCCTTGTCCCCACTCCGTCTCCCTGGTAATGAGGTTGAGGCATTGTCTGTAGAATGTAAACTGCTTTCAAGTTCTTGCCTCTCCTTCTCATCACGGTCTTCAAGTACAGAAAGCACTTGAGAGGTAAACCCTCTTCTGCAGTCTTTTGTTACATTAGCAAGCACAGCTGACAGTGCAGGCTCTGTAATCATGTTACGTCGAGAAATAACCTGAAAAATAAAAAGAACTCTTCCATCAACGGCTCAACATAAAGTAGTTCTATTTATGAAAATCTAGGCAATTAATTCATTCCAGTACCACTTTTTGTGATTACCTCATGCCACTTCCTCGTATATCGTTTGGTTACATCACAAACACCATCTTTGGCGATGCCAATTACGTAATCTAATTTCTTGTTCCACCTACAGAAAATGCTTGAAGTTATATTTATGGACAAATCAATGTAAAATAATTTATCTCATATAAAGAAACTGAATCAACAGGGAAATCTAGAAAAACGATTAAACTAGCAAGACCAAAGGTACCCGCTTTCATATAACAGTGGTTTGTCATACACTCCTTCACAAGGATCGAGATGCATCCATCTGAACAACAAAGGTGTCAAAAGAAGATTGAATCCATATTATTGGCTTTCCAGGACTCCTAAGATAAAGAAAAAGCACTAGTCTGTAAATGGAAGTTACCTTCCTAAAGATTGTGAGAAGCACTCCGTCCAAACATGATCCACGAAAGCCAAGATCTGAAAAAGAAAGGAAAAAAGTTAAAAGAAATCTATGAGCAGGCACTGTGGGTCCAAGTAAGCCTCGTCAGTCTAAGGAAAAAAAGGACACAACTGAACCACTTTACCTACTTTCATTCGAAAATGAATAATTAGACAAGATAATCGTTCCAATGTTGGAACTCAACTCAATAGATGTGATAATACAAGACGGATTAAATATATTCATATTGATTTAAGCATGTCCATTGGTGAATATTAAGAAAGTCAGATGGCACAGTTATTAGAATTGAAAATGACTAACCAGGCGGGATTCATATCCAAAAGCTCGGCAATAAAGCGTAAAGCAATTGGCCCATTCCCCACAACGCCCACTTCTTGTTTCCACAAGCTGCATTTCGGGGAAAAGATAATATAAAACTCAGGGAGACATAAAGTATCAAATAAGCTTCTTAATGAGGCCACCAAGATGCATAAATACCTTTAATGGATCATTGTAGCGTGGGAAACGAGACCCTATAGGGCAAAAATTGCATCTGGGGTTGAAGACCAAAAATATAATAAGTAATGTCAAGCTAATTAATTATTTTGAATCTAGAGTTGTATGCATCAGCACATGGATAGAAAACTAAGGTAACATCTGTGGTTAATTTTTTTGATTGAAATAGCAGTTTTCTAATGGTTTGTGACATGAGGCTCTCACCTAAAAATGCTACTCACATAAAGTAAGTATAACAGTAAAGAAAAATCCTTTAAATTGAAAACTATAGCTGCAAATGCTGCCATAACTTTGACAGTTGGAGAGTCCAAGTTCATGGTGGACGAGCCTATTTGACTCCAACTATGTTATTCTTAAACCAGATGAACAAAGACTACCAAGTAGATATTACCACAATGAAAGATTAGATATACAGTAGGGAAACCAATAAAGCAAAAAAAAAAAAAAAACAAGATAACATAAAATCATAAAGGGGTAAAAATACCATAGACCAGACTAGACTATAGTTACAAAATTTGGGGTTGGGAAATGGCCAAACATCAATAGCATACCCATAGATCTCAACTCGAGAAGCTCCATATCGAATTTCTGAAGGAAGTGGGTCAGCCATTCCATGAAATACGGTTTCTTTGCCGCAACCATCACAGGGAGGAGCATTAACCCACCTGCAATATTGAAACAGAGCACATTACACAAATTCAGCTGGTCAGCTATGCATGATGAAAGTGAATAGTAAAAAAAAAAAAAAGCAAAGCAACAGGAGAACACCTGAAAGATTGTTTGAACCAGAAAAGCAGCTGCAGCAGGAAAGCATGGTCTTGTTCATTTTTTGATGGAGTTGAATTCCCCTCCTAAAACACGTTTATCAGATTTGCTTATCACCAAGACATCTTTGCAGTGGACAATCATTAATAAATTGCCGAAAACCAGTTCAGTCCAAAAATGAAAACAATGACATGCGTAAAACATTTATTTTCTGAGAGACTAATGCTCTCACCTTCGCCAAACTGACCAATGCTTTCTCCTCGAGCTCTTCTATAGGAACTGTTTTCCGGGCAGCCTCCTGGCGTTGCAGGTCCTCATACTAAAGCAACGACAGGCCAAAACCCATTAAAAACATCAGTCTGTGAAAAGGCTTAAACTAATCTTGCACAATTTGTTAGAGGAATTTGAGAAATACAAAACTACAAACTATTATGTGTTTTTCTTCTTTTGTATTAACTAGTACTATTAGTCAAAAGCTAAGCTCTTTGCTTTTCCGTTTCCCTGAAACCAAACAGATGAAGGAATAAGAAAGAACATTACCATGAGAACTTGACTGACATAAGGGCGTAGTCTCTCCTCAAACTTTCCATTATCTTCAGGGGCAGCGTACTGCTGAAACAAAAGCGCCTCCCCCTCTGCCTAATTTTTTTTTTTTTTTTTTTTCAAAAGAGAAAAAAAAAATTAAAATGAAACAAAATTTCCTTGGAAGGTCTCAAATGCAGAAGACTTGTAAAGAAACCTGCAACATTCTGGCCAATTCCTCGTCGGATTTCAGCAATTCATCGTTTTCAGCAGTTGATTTTTCTTGTTGCTCCTCATTGATCGAAACCAATCGGAGCTTGTCAGAGATGGCCACGAGGTCGGAATCATCCGAAAGGACACGATTTTCATCGACTCCAATTAACTTTACGCAAAGAAAAACAATTCAATTTAATCAACTTGCGACACTCGTAGTTTTACACATAGCAAAACCTATACACATACATTCACACGCAGAGATATTTTTAATTATATACGTATATATATATATATCTATATAGCAAGAGAGATATGTAGAAATTGGTGAACCTTTTGCTCGTCTGGAGGAATGGAGGTGAGAGAGAAGATCTGAATTTTGAAAACCTGAAATGAATGGCATGTTAGGGAGAGAAACTGAGTTTTGGAGAGAGAGAGAGAAAGAGAGAGAGAGATACTTCGAGGCCATCGCCAGTGTCATAATCAACGCCGTAAGTGGAGTCATTGTGGTGAACCTGAAAGCTGCGAGCCACCATTTTCTGTGTTCGCGACTCTGATAATGATCTCTGCAACTGCAAAGCCCCAAAAGTAAAGTAGAGGTCTTTCTTTTTTTTTTTTGGTCTGTAGTAGAGGTCTTTCTTTCTCCCACCATTTGTTTTGTTCGGGAACTTTCTTACAAAGAATCAATACTGACGTGTCGTTTGCAGCACGCCATGTATGTTGCCTTTTTCTTTTTTTTTTCTTTTTTTGCAACGGTTGTTTTTCATAGAGTTTTTTTTTTAAAAATAAATAAATAAATTTACTTTAGAATTAAAAAATATAAATTTACCATATTATTCTTATTTAATTAATACACTAGCCTCTGTCAATTGGTTTTTTTTTTCTTTTTTTATTTTATTTTTATAATTAAGAAAAGATAACATTAATAATCCTTAAGGTTAGCCTCCATACATAAAAATAGTCATTGCCCTTATCTTCTATCAAATTTGCTGTTAAATTGATGATGTGACACATGTGTGAAGCCCACACATTCAATGGTATAGAGCCATGTGGCTTTAAATATAATAGGTTAGATTTTAGACTCCCTCTCTCTCTCTCTCTCTCTCTCTCTCTCTCTCTCTCTTTTCTCTCTTTCGTGCTTGAAATCATCAGCTTTCACTTTTTTTATGCCAACGAAATGACAATAATTGTTGCATCCTTAAAAAGATTTAAAAATATATAAAAATATTTTAGTTGCTTTTATTTTTTTTAATGAATTTTAAGTTTTAAAAATATTTATATTATATTATATTTTAAAATACGTGGCTATATATCATTGAATGTGTGGGCTCAACACATGTGTCACGTCAGCAATTTAACAGAAAATTTGTTAGAAACTAATGTTATGGACCATTTTGATGTGTGGAGGGTAACTTTAAGGACCATTAGTGTCACAAAAAAAACTAAGGACGAAAGGTGATAATTTTGTAAACTTCAGGGACCATTTGAGATAAAAAAACCTTTGCATAATTCCAACCTTAAAAATACTGAGCATTGTTTTTGTTTTCTTTGTATTCTTATTTTTCAATTTCTTATTAATGTTGATAGTTTCTTTTTTTTTTAGCGGGCAATGTATTATAAAGAGTTGTATACAAAAACCCTTTGAGGTTTCTTGTGTTTTCACAAAAACCCCTCAAATCTCAAAAATTACATGAACATCCCTGAGGTTTCAGTTTGTTTTTACAAAACCACTTTTTGTTGATTGTTTGTCAAAAAATTGATAATTTCATTGGGAAAAAAAACACTTATGCAAATGAAAAATTTAACCTTAATGAAGTATATGCAATCTAATCTCAAAATGTCAACTTTGTCATTTGGAGAATTTTTTTTTTGGGTATAAAATCATCGATCTTCGGATGAAAAATCAATGAAAAGAAGTTTTATAAAAATAATTTAAAACCTTAGAGAGTGTTCGTATAATTTCTAAAACCTATGTGAAAATACAGAAAAACTCAAGAAGTGTTAGTGTAAATAACTCATATTATAAACCCACCAATTATCTGAGGGTTGCAACTTATAGGAGGGCTTGATTCTCGGCAGGCCGAAGCCCCGCTCGTAGGTCCCATTATCAGGCCTTACATTTAACATGGGCCAGCCTTGACAATTAACATGGGAATCAAGGAAAATACACACATCCTTCGTAGGGTTATTCCACCATGAAATTCAACGATAAGAACCGCTAGTATTTTAGGTGGTCCTTCAAGGGTCCGTATTTAAGAAAAACACAAAAGATTAATTTAATTCACGAGGTGCACATACTCAATTCCATATAGATGGTTGACATAAAGAGAAAAAGGTTTTTTAGGTTTTAGACATAACAAAATTTTCACTTTTGGAAAAAGTCAAAGATTTTTTGAAAAACACAAAAAAACCACTCAACTTTCAAATCAAAGACATGCAAATGTATTGGATTTCTTAGGAAATCTAAAAATAAATAAGGGCATTTTTGTCCATTTTTGCTTTTTTTAAAATTTTTCTCTCTCATTTTGCTTTTTCCAAAATGCCCCTAAAGAAAAGGGCTGGGTATGGGTTGCGCATGAATCCATGATTGGAAATGTAGATTTGAGGATGGAGATGGGGACGGGGACGGGGACGATGAAAATGAGAATGAGAATGACAGCGGCATTGCATATATCAAAGTCAAAGTGGACCAAAACATTATTAATGAAATCCGAAAGGATATCGATGCAACTGGCTAACAATAATAAAGAAGTCTACATGTAACATGTATACATTAATGAGATTGAAAAGGATGCTAACCAGAACAAATAATATTTGGTTCTATTTTCTGTGGTCGGTCTTCTTCCATCTGAATTAGTGGTGGTTGTAGTCATTAATTTCATACAGAAAAACACATCATCACTCGGCACCTTCTTCTTTTTTGTTTTGACCTTCTTTAATTGAATGACATATTTACATCATCAACTTCCGAACTCATTTAAACCCTAATGGGAGAAAAGTACAGCCCTTCGAACTACTATTTGATTCCGTCTTTAATGTCAATAGCCTACCTAACCTAACCCCAGAATATCTCTCTATATCTCTCTTTGATGTCAAACATCGCTACGTCTTCTTACAGAACTAGAGAGCATAAACTATAATCTTCTCTTCTGTGTACTGTGTACATCTCTCTCGCTCTCACTCTGCGATAATGTCGACGACTCAGCGGAGCCGGGTGGTGGTGCACTCAAAGCTAACGGCAGTTTCGAGCAGGCCAGTGAAGGCCGGCACGACCCACAATCTTACAGCGTTGGACCATGCAATGGGCCTCCACACCCTCCACGTAGTCTTCTACTACAAGCACAAGTTGTTAGGCTGTTTTGACTTGGACCCTTTGCGGCTCTCTCTCTCCGAGGCCCTCTCGCTGCACCCTCCGGTTATGGGTCGGATGGCTCAGAAACCCGACGGCAATTGGGAGGTTAAGTGTAATGATGCGGGTGTTCGGGTCTACATGGCCCGGGTGGCGACCACACTTGATCAGTGGCTCAGATCTGCTGATGGCTCCGAAGAGAGGCTTTTGACCGTCTGGGATGATATGCCTGATGATCCCAGTATTTGGTCACCCTATAGGATCCAGGTACTTTTTTATTTATTATTATTTATTTAAAAATTTTCAATCCTGGTTGTTTTGGTCCCGGTTAAGGTGAGGAGTCCTATATACTGAAGTGATTTATTACATTTTATATACACGTGCCAAGCTTTCTACAAGGAGAAATATGTTTCTTATGTTTAAGATGACGTATTTTCGTATTTCTCTATACAATACGAGTAATATGCTAAAAATATTTACTTAGTTGTGAGTTATTGATACAACTAGCCACACATGTGTAGCACTATCACTAACTCTTATACGAGGAGTGCATAAAATTATTTTTGAAATCCAACCAAAGGATTTCTTGTGAGAATATGAAGGTGAAAATATCCTATTGGAAAAAGGACTTATAAGGTGTTGGACTATTTCCCATTGCCAATTGATTTAGAGATGTTGCGTCACCTTTGGCCTCCTTAGGCTCTTCGGCAGATGAGTAGGATCTACAAGACAAAAAGCAAAGATAAAACCTTGGACACCGGTGTTGTACCAGCCTAAGACTCTCCGATGCTTAAATTAGCTTAAGGACGAAGTGAATAACAATTTGGACAGAGTAAGGACTAAGTAGCTGAATTAAACAGATACTTTATTTGGGGGACTTATGCCCCTGTTTATAAATCTTGAAAGGTGTGCACTTTGAGTGAGATTTCGATGTGGGACTGTTGACATTGCTTGAGAGACTACCACGTGTCATTTGTCCAGCTTGGTAAAACATGCACTTTCTTTAAGCCGGATCCGCCGGCTGGTTGCCGAAGAGTTACCATGCCAATGGTCTATACATAGGTAGGGTTGTCGTAAGCTCACCCATGATCAATTAATGAGTCTTAATGTTTTGATTGGGGTTTATAGGCTCTTTTGTAGGTCCCGTATTCCACGTACGGCGGAATAATTGGGCCTTCATATGTTGTATAAACAGATTGAAAATGAAATAAAGGTTGTGGCCATAATATTAATTGATTGACAAAACATGTGACACCCAATTAAATTGATTTGAAAAAACATGCGAGTTAGGTAGCTTTAAATTATTGCAGCGCCCTCCTGTGCAGGAAGGGTATGTAATTAAAATGAGACACAATTATTATTACTTTTTTTTTTTTTTATCTTTCTTGCTGGAGAATGGAGATCAGTTCTGAATTCTTGCATGCCCTTTGCTTATATAATATTGTATGCTCGATTTTATTGAAAACAAACATTATTATATGTAGCACCAAACTTGATTAAAAGAGCATTAACATATGAATCAATCCTGGTTTTGGAGATAAATGAATTTGAAGGAGGAGGTGCAGCCATTGGTGTAAGTTGCACTCACATGCATGCAGACCCAACTTGTGTCACCCTACTCGTCAAGGCGTGGGCCGAGACTCACCGCAAGCAAGCAATTGCTCACCCGCTTCTTGTCGGGGAGTCATCAGCCCTCGGAGGCAGACCCGTTGATCAAGACATAATAAAAACAAAATCAGCAGCGGCCTATTATGAAGCCAAGTCTGTGGCAGCAAAGACCCCTTTACCAGAAAAGAAAATGAGCACAGCCACTTTCAAATTCTCCAGTGCAATGATCGAGCAAGGCCTCTTACAAATCCACAAAACTTGCCCTGAAGCCAACCCTTTTGATTTGCTGGCTGCACTGTTTTGGACAAGCATTGCGCGCTTAAAGCCCCCAAAGAGTGCCACCAAGCACTCCCTCTCAATCTGTACCGACTCTAGAAAGAAGCTGTGTTCTGGGTGGCACTATGGCAATGCCTTGCATTTTTCAATGCTTTCAGTGCCGGATGTGGAGGAAGTGGAAAACGCCAATGGGTTGGAGCACGTGGCAGAAGCGGTGCACCGCCACGTGTGGAGTCAGAATGAGGAGGAGTTTTGGTCTGGAGTGGACTGGTTTGGATCACAAAAGGGAGAGGAAGGTAAGTTTGGGGCAGCATTTAGGATGTATGGCCCTGAATTGACATGTGTTAGCATGGAGCACATGAATGACAAGGAGCCATTGATGTATGCAGCCATGTTTGACAAGGACAAGAAGCCAGCTCATGTATCTTACCGTGTGGGAAATGTGGAGGGTGAAGGGTTCATAATGGTGATGCCAGCTTCAGGAGGAGGGCTTGGAAGGATGGTTATGGTGACATTGCCAGAGGAGGAGCTGGGCCAGCTCTGTGTGGCACAACCTATTTTGAGCCTAAAACCAACAATGCTGCTAAGTGGGAAACAAGCTTGAATTTGTTGCTTTGAGTTTATTCATTTTAACTTCAAGACTTGGAAAAGCTTAAACCAATTGCAAATCAAGTTACATTTCATTTGCTGCCTGAGTGTTACAAAATTAATTAATACTATATCATCCAAACAATGCTTCTAAGTGGGTGACAAACTTGAATTTGTTGCTGTGAGTTTATTTGTTTCAAATTTCAAGACTTGGGAAAGCTTAAACCAATTACAGATCAAGTTACATTTCATTTGCTGCCTGAGTATTACAAAATTAATTAATACTGTAGCAGGCAATTAGTCCTTGTAAGCTCGATTGATCAGTCAGACTAATTTGGATTCCTTTGAGGAGTGTTGGCAAATTTCCATTGCACATGACTCGCGCGTTCGTAAGTTTTCTCACCAGCTACTTGGTCGAGAGGAACGGCATCAGAAATTTCTTTCAGGTCCTCTTCCCTGAGTTTCAGCGCTACGGAGCCAATGTTTGTATCCAGGTTTTTAATTTTTGTTGTCCCTGTGGAAATTCACAGTAAATATAGTCTCGATGACAATGTACGTATGTATGTAAATAACGTATCGAAGAAATTATATATACTCACCAGGGATAGGAACAACATCATTTCCTCTGTGGAGAACCCATGAGAGGGCTAGTTGAGCAGGAGAGCATTCATGTTTCTTAGCAAGGCTTTCTACTCTATGGTAAATGTGTTTGTTCTTCTCCAAGTTCTCTCCTGTCATCCGAGGATGTGTGGCCTGATAATCACAAAAACGAAAACAACAAAAATGGAAAAAAGATTATTCAATCAACCAACAAACTCAGTCATTAGTATAAGGTAAATAGCTTAATTAGCTCTGTTTTTAAATATGTACCGCATGAACTTCAGAGTCCAAATTTTCCAAAACTGCTTTGCCAGCAAAAAAACCACGGCCAAGAGGACTATATGGAACAATTCCAATCCCACGCTCCCTGCATATAAACAAGGCTTTTTATTACAAAACGTCCCTGAGGTTTGTGATTTGCCAAGATTTGCACAAGCAAGCGTGTAAATATAATGTACCTGCAAAGTGGAACAATCTCTTCCTCAATATCACGAGTCCAAAGAGACCACTCCATTTGTATAGCTGTGATGGGATGAACTGCATGTGCCCTCCTTATTGTGTCCGGGCTCGCTTCAGATAATCCTATATACTTTATCTTCCCTTCTTCCACCAGTTTCTTCAGCTCACCCATCTAAACTCCAAAGCAAATACAGAAATGAAAAATATCTAATCAGGGTTCTGGGATTGCGTTTAGCACAAACTGCGTAGTTTTAGACTTCAATCAATCTGTTATGAACTTATGATACGCAGAGTTTGGTACATTATATATATGCATACGCATTAAATTACATACAGTATCCTCTATAGGCACCGATTGATCCACTCGGTGCTGATAGTAGAGATCGATGTAGTCGACGCCAAGACGCTTCAAGCTAGACTCACAGCATACCCTGACATACTGAGGGTCACCCCTTACTACCAGACAAGGCGGTCCCAAGCTTACAACACCAAACTTTGTGGCTATCTGAACTTTTTCTCTTGGCAACTGCTTCAAGGCCTAAATGTTGATAAAATGTTTCTAATTAGTGGAGTTAGTCTAATTAAGTTACTTGATCAATATTGCACAAGTGGAATAATGATGAGGACTTGGAGATGGAAGTATACCTTGCCAACAAGAATTTCATTGTAATGATCAGTTCCATATATATCAGATGTGTCAAAGAAGGTGATCCCTTTACTGAAGGCATCTTTTATTAGTGAGATTCCTTCCTTTTCAGCCTCAGGGGAGTTGATCCAGCTCAGCCCCATGCAGCCAAACCCCAACTTTGATACCTGCAGACAGAGCAAGGAAATGAATTAGAAAGTCTATTGCAGAAGCAGAAGCAGAAGCAAGCCAAAATGCAATGACAAAATTTCATTTGAAAAACAGAATGATATTGTACCTCAAAACCTTGGGTTCCAAGTTCAACTCTTGGAATCTGAATTCCCTGCCCCTCAGTCATTTTGTTTCTCTTTTTTATCTAAATAATTGCTTTCAATTGCTTCCTCTTAGATCAACAATCCCAGATGTAAATAGGATTTTTGAGAGCTGACTGAGAAATAGCAAAGTAAAGATGCAGAGTGATCTGTTTATAGGATTTAAAGTTGGCCACACACACATCACTGATTATTACATAATATCTACCCACTAGTCTTACACTGACATCACTAACTATGTCACTATGCCAAGGGCAATGGGAATAATATCTAGTACAACTTTGACCCATTGGATTATTATGTCACTGGCCAATCAATTGACATCACTCATTATGTCACCATGTCACCATGCTATCTATTCTATTCTGATTTAACATTTCCTTCATTCATAGAGATCCTCTCCAAAAGAAAGGGAACCAAGAAAGTCTTGAAAGATTGGTAAATTGTGATTACTTCTGTTGCAGAAGCAATCACATGCAAAATACAAAGAAAATGAAAGAAGCTTTAGAAATGGATTATACCTCAAGTCCTTGATTTCCAAGTTTGACGCTTGGAATCTGTGTTCCCTTCCCTTCAGCCATACTAATCTTCTTTAATTTTCTCCAAAAACACTGTTTTGATTGTTTCCTGTAATTTAAATAAAACCTAAATGCAGATAGGTGCTATTCTCCACAGCTTGAGTTTCTTTAGCCTCTTCTCAAGCTCAACACTTTCAATTCAACAGCTGTTCTCTTATGCGGATTAATTGGTGCGAATAGCTTGCAGAAAATAAGCATCCACCACCATTAAAATGAACCGTCCGATGCTTCTTTCTATTTGCTTAAAGAGATTTATAATAAATAAAAAGTACAACAAAAAGAAGAAAATATTGCACGTCCCGAGGAATGGAGGTGAGAGAGAAGAGCTGGAATGAATTAGATTCCTTAGGAAATCTAAAAATAAATAAGGGCATTTTTGTCTATTTTTACTTCTTTTAAAATTTTTCTCTCTCCTTTTGCTTTTTCCAAAATGTCCCAATTTGAAAATCTGAAATGAATTGCAAGTTAGAGAGAGAAACTGAGTTTTAAAGAGAGAGGTGGAGGAAATGAAATGACAGAGAGAAAGAGGGAGAGAGATACTTCGAGGCCATCGTCGGTGTCATAGTCAACGCCGAAAGTGGAGTCATTGTGGTGAACCTCAAAGCTGCGAGCCACCATTCTGTTTCGCGACTCTGATGATAATCTCGGTGTATAGCCGCGCGGCTATACTATTTACATATCGAATATATTTTTAAGGTGCGCGGCTATACTATTTAGATATCGAATATTTTTAAGGTATAATCTTAATAAATTTATAATATATAGCCGAACGGCTATATTCTGTAATTATTCTTCAAATAGTATAGCCGCTCGGCTATACACTCTAATACTTGATTAAACAACATAAAAGCCATAAATACAAATTTAAAAAAGTGAAGAAAATAGACTTTGAGAAATGAAAATTTCTTCATTAAAAAAAATAAAATAAGAAGAAGAAGAAAAGGGTATGAGAGCAATTAATTGTAGTGGAATTTATTGGTGATTGTTTTGTCCACAGTATTATTATACAAAAGAAGTTTGATTTGCAATCAATTCAACAAAATAGAAAATCCTTAAAGTCCAAGATTGAGATGGAAAAGTGTCCATGTCTTAAAGCTCAGATCTTTGATTCTTTTGGAGGAGTGTTGGCGAGCTTCCATTGCCACTGCATCAGGATTCCGCTGTCGCTATCACCGGCGGCTTGGTTAATTGGTACAGCATCAGAAATTTCTTTGATGTCTTCTTCCTTGAGTTTCACTCCCAAGGAGCCAATGTTTGAATCCAGGTTCTTAATCTTTGTTGTCCCTGCAGTGGAAATTCACAACCAAATGGACAATGTGTCAATAGACAGAAACAACGTTTCTTGATTGATTTCATGAGCAAACAAATGCTGGTAAGAAAACTGAAAAGATAAAAAATTCAAACCCTGATCTTAAAGAATCTTGATTGGTGTCATGCCAATTATAAATCAATGAAGACTCACCCGGGATAGGCACAACATCATTTCCTCGGTGCAGAACCCATGATAGTGCTAGTTGAATAGGAGAGGTTTGGTGCTTCTTAGCAAGGCTTTCTATTCGATGGTAAATTTCCTTGTTCTTGTTTAAGTTCTCTCCTACAAACCGAGGATGGTTGGCCTGAAGCAGAAAAGAAAAATGGACAAGATTCAATCAACCAAAATTAGTTTTCATACACAGAAAAAGAACATACTTCAAATTTATAGTTGTAAAATCCAGACACCCTGAACCTGTAGTTTTGCACTTCAACTGCATAAAAAAGTGAGACACAAGACAAAAACTGCACAATTTTCACAAAACTACTGAACTGCTAGGTTTTTGAGTTTACATATGATTTTGTTAAAATGACATAATGCCAAAGAAAAAACCAAGATTAGAATCAAGCTCTTCTCTCTCAGTTTTTTGTTACTCTGCAGAACCTACATTTACTTCCATAACAGACTGAGCAGAAAAAGATTATGAAGAACAACCTACCACAAAGCTATTTGCAGCCACACCTTCCACAACTCCTCTGCCTCCGAAAAAACCACGACCAAGAGGACTATATGGAACTATTCCAATGCCAAGCTCCCTGTATGTGACAACATTGAACAAAATAACTGACACAAATTAGAGTTATTATAGACACACTTTGAGAACATTCCACAAGCGTTCCCCTTACAAAAATGGAAAATAGGGAAGCAATTCAGGGTTGAAAGTGGATTCTGAACACACCTGCAAACTGGAATAAGCTCTTCCTCAATATCACGAGTCCAGAGGGACCACTCAATTTGTAAAGCCGTGATGGGATGAACTGCGTGTGCCCTCCTTATTGTGTCCGGGCTGGCTTCAGACAACCCAATATACTTTACTTTTCCTTCTTCCACCAGTTTCTTGAGCTCACCTACCTAAACTCCAGGAAAAACAAAAGTATCTAATCAATATTTTCCAGCCACCCACCCACTATTTCTACAAGAAGCTATGTAAAAGCACTTCCAATATTATACCGTTGCGGTGCTTTTAGCTGAATGAGGAAGAGAATCACATACCGTTTCCTCTATAGGCACCGTCGTGTCCACCCGGTGCTGATAATACAGATCAATGTAGTCGACGCCAAGACGATTGAGGCTAGCCTCACAGCATGAGCGGACATACTCAGGAGTGCCCTTCACTGTAATTCTAGGAGGATCAGGTCTTCCAGTAATACCGAACTTTGTGGCCACTTGAACTTTTTCCCTTGGCAGCTGCTTCAAGGCCTTCATTATATAAACACACATACATTTTAGCTAATAGTCTGCTTCTTTGTGAATTATATCTACCATGAATTGATCAATCAGGTGCGTGTGGAAATACAAACCTTGCCAAGAAGAATTTCATTCAAGTGGGGTCCATATACATCAGCTGTGTCAAAGAAAGTGATTCCTTTACTGAAGGCATGTTTTATTATGGAGATACCATCCTCCTCTGGGACAGGAGAGTTGTAGACCCCACTCAGGCCCATGCATCCAAACCCCAGTTTTGAGACCTGATGATGAGCAAGGAGATCAGAGATTTTGAAACAAAACTGTAAAAATTGGAAGAAACTAAGCATCTAAATCAACCGTAGTGTTCTAAATGGATGAATACAATACCTCAAATCCCTGACTTCCAAGTTGAACTCTTGGGATCTGTACTGCCTTGTCCTCAGCCATAGTGTTGTTTGTTTGTTTGTTTTGATTGATCCCAAAATTTAAGCAGGATAGGATAGGCTAAATAAGCACTGCAAAGTATACGCCGTGTTAGGATAGGAGTTGGGCACACCAGTTATTATATATGCCTAGACTAGTCTTTGCATTGACATTACTGGCCGGCTCTGCTGTGTTATAATCTCCGGGCAATTCTGGCAACTGAAAATACATATAATAATATGTCATTCTTCAGTGGACATAACTGGCCGTGTCAATATATAACAGGGTCTGAGGGTCAACTCTGCTACAATTCCAGCTCAAGAAAATTCAATCACACTTTACAAACTTTTGATTGTTTTTTACTCCCAACAAGTCAACTTTTCTTAAATTATGAAGGTGGTGGGATCTTGAAAATATCTGATTTGAGCACAGCCAAAGCTGAATTTGGAATAAAGGGAGATGAAATTGGAATGTGAGATTTACACCTCAAGTCCTTGACTTGACCGCCCAATTTAACCCTCAAGTCCTTGATTTGGTTGTCTTCATCCATCCATCTAGCTTCATTGTGTTTGTGCCTTTCCAAAGAAAGGCAAAAATTAAAAAAAGGGAATGCACCAGCCGGGAATCGAACCCGGGTCTGTACCGTGGCAGGGTACTATTCTACCACTAGACCACTGGTGCCCGGATGAATACTTATCTCCAACCACACTATTTTCTAACCATTGCAATTGGTTTTGATTTGAAGGTGAAAACCAAAAAAATCTGCACCAGCCGGGAATCGAACCCGGGTCTGTACCGTGGCAGGGTACTATTCTACCACTAGACCACTGGTGCTTTGATGCTTATTCATTTCAGGTTAAATGTTTTTACTAAAATTATCACCACTTTGCTTCTAAACCAGAAATATTCCTCTTTTTTTCTCGACCTGATGATGATGCAGCAGGTTATGTCCCACTATAAGAACAACCGGGCAATTATGCTTGTAATTTTATAGCCTGGCCTTCCATGGATGCTTCCAGTTTCAAGCCCCCATGTCACGTTGAGGTAGGTGCCCATAGATTTTAGCTTTTATTTATTCAAGTATCTATCTATATTTATGAAAAACCTGAGGCATCTCAACAGAAGTGAGCAGCATTCACCACAGAACTTGCAATTGCATTGGAAACCAAAATCAGTCTTATTAATAATAAAAATACACACAAGCAACATCTCATCACATTCTCTGTTACAAGAAAATATATGCAGGCCCGATTGCCTACACAAACATTTCTAAGATAGTATTGTGCTCTCTTTTGCTGGTGTATCTGCAAACTTCCATGAGCAGGTAATAAAACTGGCAACTATTCTTTCCCCTGCCGCCGCGTTGATGGGTATCATATCAGAAATCTCTTG